TGGAAATCGATGATATGCGAAGCACAAACGATTGATTTGATATGTGTGGTTTAACGCCCCAAAACCACCATATGATTATAAGACGCCGTAGTGGAGGGCTCCGAAAATATCGACCACCTGGGTTTATTTAACGTGCACCCACATCTGAGCACACGGGCCTACAACATTTCCGCCTCCATCGGAAATGCAGCAGCCGGGATTGAAGCACAAACAAGGAAGGTTGATATATGCCAGTTTAAAATCAAGACAACGTTACGAGGCGGACGTTAATTATGCCGCACTTGACTTCCATATTTTGATTACCATGTTTGCGCCTGGCATGTGCTCGTCGCTCATTTACGTCACGTAATACCAAATTGGGTATAGGTGAAGCTAGCGAGACGTCCACAAGCGCGCTATAAGCGTAGAATGTAGTCATGTATTACGTGACACACATTATCATGTTTGGACGTGTCACTTACCTTCGTCATCTATTCACGTTACACAATACCAAATTTGGTATATGTGAAGCTAGCGAAACGGCTGTGAGCGCATCATGAGAGTGCTGTGTTGTCCAGTGTCGCGAACGGGCGCCTTCCCAAGCGGCGGCGGAGAAACCGGATTCTATGCACCGCAACGCGGCGCTGTTTGTTGCTGGTGAGTTGAGTTACTGGATATTCTACCTTTGGGTAGCATATACAGGAACTCTACTGGCGAGTAACGAGGGAGGTAGACGTGCAACTGGCGGCAGTGTAACTGCGTCCCTGTCGCGAAACTGCTTCCCGAAGCACTTATTGAAACACCTTAGATATTATCGCTAATTATATTCTCGGGTGGGATAGAAGGAACTAAATATAATTTTTACTGTTCATATATCCTTCTACAGATGCACAAACTAGGCGATCGACGTATTTTTGACGCGCGCACACAATTCTACTTTTCTTAAGATGACATATACGTCACAATGCAGTTTGACCGGTGCTTTCCTCCCCAACCCCCCTTAATCAAGGAGGATGTTTCAGCTGATGAAGGCTGGAATGGCCAACAAGTAACTTTCAGATTAATAAAGCACCAACGAAAAAAAAACGCAACAGAGTACGGGCCTTTTTGTAAAGCTGTCTGTACCAATTGTTGTTAATTTGGTAAACATAGCCGCTTTATTGTGCTCTCTACGCATGCAGAAAGCAGCTGCGACTAAGTCCCTTCAAAATCAGCGTGTCATTTGTTTAGGTGTGTGCAGGTGAAAAGGGGGGGGGGGACAGCAGCCCTCACAAAGAGGGGGTGGGCGCCAAATCTGTCCCATTAGATTACTAGGGAGCGATGCTGCTGCGATGAACATCCACCTTCCGCCAAGGCTGATTTTTGAGCTGGCAAAGGCTGGAGTGCTCATATATAGAAACTGCCGAATGGATAAAGCAACAAGGAAGAAAAAGTACACGTGCAACAGGCCGCACCTTTTTTCTATACGGAGTTCATTGTGTTTGCCAATTGTTCATTTGGGAAATGCACCCGCTATATTGTGCTCGTCTGCGCAAGCAGAAAAGAGCAGTGACGAAGTTCTTTGAAGACCAGTATGCGAAGCTTAGGCCGTACGTGGAAGGAGATCGGGACAGCCGCCATCGCTGGGGAAGGAGGAGGAGGGGGAGTCCTGTTGGACTTTTCTGTTTGTTTTTGCAGTCTCGTTTCAAATAGGGGCACAGAGAAAACGAAATTTGCGTTGATGTATTGCTTGGCTTTTACTTATTGTTCTTCCTTATTTATTATCTTAAAGTAAGTACATCTAGTTCGTTTGTCCCAGCTTCTTAATATGTTCAATACTTATTCCTCATGTGTGCATGAACTTCAATTTATTGTCTGTTGATGCTCATTTTTTCGCGGATTTTTTATTATTTAGTGTTCATTTCATGGAGGTATACCTGTCTTTTTTTCATTCACTCACATTCTGCATCAAAACACTTGTCCTTGCGTCTGTCTATCGGGTTGTTGTACTTTGTTTTTATGTAACATCTATAAACATGTATTGATATTGATGTCTTTACACTCAAACGCAACTGTGCGGAAAAGAATGGTAATAAACTGGGTCTGAAGGGCCGAGTCTCCGACATCTCCGTTCCGTGTGCGCTATATATTCCGCTTGTATGTGCTGTTCAGATGTAGATAACCTGGAAGCGTACTATAAAGATCGTTTTTTCTTCTTCACTCGCAACTTATCGGCGCCCTGTGTGACGGGCACAGCGGCTTTGTGCTGTTACCACAAATCTTGTTCAAAACGAGAAACGCCTCAGAGCGCGCACTCGGACGCGTAAATGCCGCGCGGCAGCGAGCGGTTGCGCCCTCTAGAAGCGGTATCGTAAACTTTTTCAGCTTTGCAGTTTCGTTCACGACACTAGAAAAACCTTTCTAGCCACTATGGTCATACTCTTACATGACACACATTTCATGACTATATTGCTCGCGCCAGTCATATACCTTCGCCATCAATCCACGTCACGCAACACATAAATTGCTATAATTGATTGATATGTGGGGTTTACCGTCCCGAAACCACCATATGATTATGAGATACGCCGTAGTGGAGGGCTCCGGAAATTTCGACCACCTGGGGTTCTTTAACGTGCACCCGAATCTCGGCACCAGGGCCCACAACATTTCCGCCTTCACTGGAAATGCAGCCGCCACAGCCGGGATTCGATCCCGCGACCTGTGGGTCAGCAGCCGAGTACCTTAGCCACTAAACCACTGCGGCGGGCCAAGATTGCTAAATGTGTAGTTAGAAAAACGGCCGCGAGCGTACTATGAGCACAGCAGATAGTCATATTTTACATGACACGCATGTCATAAGTTATCATGTTTGGACGTGTCATTTAACTTTGTCGCCCGTTCGCGTGACGCAATGCCAAATTCGGTATATGTGAAGCTGGCGAAACGGCCACGAGCACACTATGAGCGTAGCGTGTTGTCATGTTATACATTACAGGCATACCATGATTATCATGTTTGGACGTGTCATTTACTTTCGTCGTCCGTTCGCGTCACGTAATACAAATTTGGTATATGTGAAGCCAGTGAAACGACGTCGAGTGCACCATGAGCGTGGCGTATCATGACTTACATGACATGCATGTCATGATTTCCACGTTGGGGCTTGTGACTCATGTTTGCCATGCAATCATGTCATACCATACCTATTTTGCAGTATGTTGAATGCGAAGCGTTTCTTAGCGAACTTCGTTGACTTTGACCCTATCTATCTATCTATCTATCTATCTATCTATCTATCTATCTATCTATCTATCTATCTATCTATCTATCTATCTATCTATCTATCTATCTATCTATCTATCTATCTATCTATCTGTCTATCTATCTATCTATCTATCTATCTATCTATCTATCTATCTATCTATCTATCTATCTATCTATCTATATATAGATATATAGCAGACAAGCAGACAGACAGACATATATATATATATATATATATATATATATATATATATATATATATATATATATATATATATATATATATATATATATATATATATATATATATATATATATATATATATATATATATATATATATATATATATATATATATATATATATATATATATATATATATATATATATATGTCTGTCTGCTTGTCTGTGTAGTTGTTCTATGTAATTGTTAGTCTGCGCTCGTGCTAGGTATGCTGAGTTCGCGCGTGCTTGAGATGTGCGCTGCAAGTTTCGAGCTGTTCTTCGCATGGCATTGTAATTGGTTGCTGTAGCATTCATTCTTTCGCCCGTCTGACCAAATAATGCACAATAAACACTCAAGTACTTCTGCGAAAAGGCGTTTCACTGCCGTGTTTTACCTTTCTATAGGATCAGCCACAAGCACGTGCGCCCAGGTGTCAAAACATGGCACTGCATCATTGAACGACTTCAGTGGGACGGTATCGTCCGAATAGTATTGCGCAAACCTGCATGCGCTTTTCACAAGAAAGTAAAGCGGTCCGCCTGCGCGGCTGGTGAAACATAAACGCCTAGACTAATCGGTATGGTTCGTTTCGCCTCATAAGAAGGCGTTCACCGATTGTTGAGCCCGCAAATAGACCAGAGTCGTGGCAAACAGATGCTTTTCCTTGATTAGCAATCCGACTGTCTTTGTATGGAAGGATGGGATATAATTTTACACACACAACTATTCAGCTTCTGAAATGCACTTTGAACGTTGAATGACCAAGTTTGAAAGGAGTCTCAAGCAGTGCAATTATGGCGTAAATAAACAACCCCGGAAAAGCAGTGCTTTGGCTGAGCAAGCTTCAGGAGGATACGCATTCGACTGCACTCTAAGAAGTAAAGGAGGAAAAAGGGTGTGGAGGTTGCTCCTTTAGAGGAGTAACTGCGCAGGAGTAACCACGCTCTCGCGGTTACTCCTCAAAGGAGCAACATATAGCAAAAGAAAAGTCAGGGTCTGGTTGGCTTAACAAGCCTTTCGAAGTGCGTGCAGGAATTTGAATAGAAGTAAATCGATGTGTACGCATCAAATTCAGAAATAAATTTTGGAAAATGTGCAGCAAACACACGGGATTCCAACTCACTACCACTCAGTCAACATGCACGTACACTAACCACTACACCGCACCACGCTACGGCCCCGTCTTAAAAGAAATATGCTTGTGTAGGCGCCGATGGGTCATGTGCACACGACGCGAACATTCCTGCAGTTACTCCAAAAAACGGGCGCTTTACTCCAAAAGGAGGAAAGCGCCCTCCTGGACGCTGCGTGTGGAATCTTTGCGCGCATTGCGTCTTTGAGAGGAGCAAAGAGCCTTTTTCGGGGGTAACTGCTCAGTTGCTCCACAAAACTTTTGAAAGTGTGGGGGGAGGCACGCTCTTGCATGAGCCGCTCGCGACCACTCTCAACAGGAGCGATGGCAATGAGTGAATGCCTACGTGATGCCATTTTACGGTGCACATGTGCCCTGAACTTTCACTCTGGTCGGCGTCCTTACCGTGCGTCTCACCTTAAAGGTCGACCGGTCGCTGCGCTTTCCCAGGTCCTTGAGGATTTTGTCGTTTGCCTGGATCTTGTTCTTGATGCTGCGCTCAATGATGTCCTGCATCATTTTGTCACGCAGCACGTCCAGCGGCGAGACGATAGACAGCGAAGGCATGTGGTCCCGATTGTGCATGCTCAGCGACGGCAGCGGACGGCTGCGCAGGGCCAGCGGGCCCCGCTTCCACAGGTCGGACAAGTCTAGGCCCCCGACGCGCGCTCCCAGTGCTGCCTCGCTCGCGAGAAGAACCAGCACCAGCCATGGGCCCACCGGGTGCATCCTGCAGCGCAACACAAGGCGTTGTTTCGTGCGGTCACTTCGGATACGTGCAATGTTCCTCCACGTTTGGCGCAGCAAGCCAAGGAGGCGTTAATCAGTGATTGTGGTATATAAGAAAATTGAGCCTCAGCGGCTGGTCGACTAATCTACCGAAATTCTACGATTTTCACGCCACTAGTGACACGGCTTGAATGGAATTACGTGAACTGCGTAAATAACATATTATCGTGGAGAGTAAAACAAAAACCAAGAGCCGGCTTGTGTTGCGTATACACTCGGCTGTCGAAATCGGGGCTCGTGAAACAATGTTGCCGCCGAAGTCCCGCTAGTGAAACTTGCCTCAGTCGTGTATAGTTCCTACTTTGATCGAAGATTCGCCGACACACGTCGGATCTGTCTCCGACAAAGCGCATCACATCGAACCGCCGTTGACCGCGTGGTGGCGCTCACGCAGCAGTTATCGTGCGACACGGAAGTTGTCATCCCCGAAACAAGGGCGCTTATCGCGAAACTGCCTTGATGCACATCAGCATGACTGCAAAAAAAGAAAAAAAAAATTGCCCGCAGCTTCCCTCGGGGGAACACTGAGGAGGATGCGGAGCATATAATTGGTTAACGGGGTGTTAAAGTGCGACTTACTTGGGTCGATGGCTAAATTGGTTAACGTGGTTGTGAAATGGGGTGTTAAATTGCGACTTACTTGGGTCGATGGCTAAATTGGTTAACGTGGTTGTAGGAGGGGGTGTTAAATGAGTGAACACGTACACACGTATGCGAAAGGGCGGCGCTGGTCGAAGGGACGTCGATCATTGTGTTTGTGGATTCGTTGGAATTCATTTCACCGCGACCTTGGACGTCGACGCGCCGTACAAACCAACCGACGAGCGGCAACTGAGCGAGCGAGCGCCGACCTTGAGTATATATACAACTCGACGGCGCATGCACTGTCAGCTGTTAACTGTTCTCGAAGCGCGACGCCACATGCGCGTCCACTGGAGAATCAGGAGAATTGTAGATGTCGAACGCGGTGTGTAGAGGAGGAAGGGTGCACAGATGGTGGAGGAGTGAAGCGGCGCGCGCAGTGTGTAGAGGAGGAAGGGATGCACAGATGGTGGAAGAGTGGGCGACGGCGCGATGGCGCATGCGCGCGCGTCAGCTGTCGAATGTTCGAGAAGCGGTGCGGACGGCGCGGACGGCGCACTACAAGGCGCGAGTATAAGATGCTTCCGCATCTAAAAAAAACTGAACGTAAGTCGCCACCCTTCAAACTGATGCACTTTAGTTAAGAAATGTGGATGAATTCTAAAAGCGTACACGCAGTCAGAATTGTGACGCCGAAAAATTGCGTCTCTACGTGGTCACGCTCAAAGCTGCCGTTCTTTATCCCGATTGCCCTCAAAGCAAAAATAACGGATAAAGTAATTCTCCTTTTCGCGACACCTAATAATCAGTAGTTTTTCGTTGTTTGAGCAAAAGCTCGCCACTGCTGAACGAACGGGTATTTTTCTAGTGAAGAATTCTCCGAATAATTGCTCATTGATTAGCCTCTGCAATCAATTATGATAATTAAAAACGATGAATATATATGTTCTGAGATTTTATTTGAAATGCAACCTCTTAAAATAATAAATTTTTCGGCTTTAGGGTAAATTATGTTTATGAAAGCCCCACGTGCATAGCCGCGATGCGACAAAGACATTTCATTCTTGTATAGTAGGATTGATTGGTTGACGTGGTGGGCGTATTTTGGATGAATTTGGTAATTGTATTAGGAATATTTCATGTTTTTATCGTGACACACTGTTACTGTCTTTTTAAACTATCCTTCCTATGATTTCCAGAGAGAAAAAATTATTTGAGTTCGAATATAGAGAAATTTTTCTAAAGGTGATGAAATCTTAGTTATTGGTAAACTTGTTGCAATTTTTTCATGGGAATGCAGAAAATGGACGTTTTGTGGTTGCTTTGTGATATTTATAGTTTTGCTTTTCCGGCAACGAATATTTAGCGCAGAAGAGCTACAACAGCAACAACTTGCTTCATGTTTCGTTGACCATTTGCGGAAAGATGTGTCCTTTCTTGTTACGGCGAATGGTCGCTAATTATGCGGAACTCCGTTAATTATCGCTGCGGTTTTTGCCGCTCGGAAAAACTCACCGTTGCTGGCCACTGTGACGTCATAAATGCCAGAAGTTAGGAGAAAACCGAGAAGATCGCCTCGAAGTTAAAAAAAAAAAGAGGGTCGAAACCTGCAGACGGCGGCTGCACAGGACGTTGACTTAGAGAGCGCTTGCCTTTTGGAGTAGGAACCGAGGCAGGGCATTTCTTCACTCGTCGAACGGCTTTCGAGAAGCAATCGATCAAATGTTGGCTTCCCCGTGAAGAGAAATAGGCCAACAAGGCAGCTGCCGCTAAAAGGTTCCGAAACGGCGGGCGCCCTTGTGGTTCGCACCTGTCGGGGGCGCGAGTGAACGTCCTCTCGCCTCAAGAAGTCTCTCACTGTCATTTCTTGCCATTTCATCCGCACAAAGGTGGAATTCCACACATCGACAAAAGAAGGCGTTCTTGCGGCGCCACTGAGGGCCAGAGACGTTCATTCGGGCGGACGCGTTCATTCCGCGCGGTCCCCACTTTGCGAAAGCCTTGGGCGTTTTACTTGGTTAAACACGCGCGCATACTTCAGTGAAAACGCTTGCGTAGCGATATTTTTTTCAACTAAAAGCACTGGCAGCTCGGGAAATCATTGAAATGACATGTACCACTTACTAATGTAAACTTTCGTGCTTCATGACGAACACGAATAAGACTCGAGGGAAAACTTGCGTGATGTCTCACAGTTGCAAACTTGCTGTATGGTCGTTCACGCTAGTGAATACTTTCTTTGTTTATATAGCTTAAGGCCCTGCTGAAACGGACTGAGTCTCACCATCCGATTTGAATGTTAATGTGCTCTAGTTTTCATATACAGAATCTGCAGCACAATCTAATGCAGTGAAGGAAGGAAGGGTCACCTTCCGTTTGTGTCAGTGGTCTTGTGTGTTGTGTAGGCAACAGCGTTGTATGTGTACGAACTGCTGGCAGCATTCAAAGTGTACATAACCGTAATAAGGCTTATTGTTGCTTATAACCTATATTGCAATTTTTTTCTAATATTGCTTTCTCTGTGATTATGCACATGAGGTCCCATTTCAGTTTGTTACTACGGGACCTCCAACTGTACAGATGTATATGACATTTTATTTGTCGTGAATAAAAGGATTCTCAAGGTACCAAGTCGGGCTAGTTTGTTAACATTCATGTTAAAGGCCCATTAAATGCACTAATATATACAGGCAACAGCGAGGGAAGACGTGCGCAGACTCGCAATGATGAAATAAACATTTATTTTTCGCGACAGTGTTGCCGAGTTTGTGAGCTCGGGGTCACACTAGGTGGGAGGGTCCATTATTCCAGGAATCCTCTGGCCGCAATCACCTCCCCGGCCCTGGCGACAACTCCTCGTTGGTCGTCTAGGTCGCGTGCGGCAATCTTGGCCTCCCACGTCTCAGCTAGGGTTGTTGCGGGCATGGTATTGGAATCTTCGTGGCGCCACGGACATTCGAGTAGTAGGTGGGCCAGAGTGTCTGGCACGTCGCATAATGGTCAGTTGTAGGCGTATAGCGTTGGGTATACTCTATGCAGTAGGGTGCCGTGTGTATAGGTGTTAGCTTGAAGTCTCCAAAATGCTGCGACCTCTTCTTTAGTAAGCTTGGGGTGAGGTGGCGGGTACACCCTGCGAGCTAGACGATAGTGTTGTAGGATGGCGTTGTATGTCGGTGGTAAGGTCTCCACTTCTGCAGCGCTGGCTAACCGCGGGTCAAGCAAGGCGCTGAGGAAGGCCCGGTCGACGTGATTGCGGGTCGTGGCATGAGCCGCTGCATTTCCATCGTGCCCCGGCACCCATACCACGCTGGTGTAAGGAAGCGGAGTTCGGCTCTTTCTCGGACTTTTGAGAGCTTCGATGGAGATTCGGCCTCGCGTGTTATTGCGGACAGCGGATTGGAAATCTGTGAGAACTACGACCGCGTCCTTACCAGTCGTAGTGACAAGGGCGATCGTTGCTTCCACGGCAGACTCGGAGCTCCGCACCCGGTGGGTGGCGGATGCCAGCTCTTGTCCTTCTGCGTCGACCACACTTAAAGCGAAGGCGTTTTTGCCCGATTGCCAGCCGCGTCGACGTAGCGAGCGTCTGGATCGTGCTGGTGTCTTCTGCGGATGGTGTCGACTCCAGCGATTCGTCTTTCCCGATGGTACTCGGGTTCCATGTTACGCGGTATTTGGGCGATGCTGAATGATTCTCGCAGGCACGGCGGTATCTTCTCTTTGCGGTCTGCCTGGCAGATGTAGCGCTCGCCGTATGCCAGACGCTCAAGAACCGATTCTGCCCGTCGACGTGAGCTTAAGCCTCTCGAGTTGGCTGGTCCGTTGTGCTTCTACCAGCTCTTGCCACGTGTTGCGTGGAGCCGTTCTTAGGAGTCTGGTGGTCGATGCCATTAAAGGTAGCCCTATGGCGAGCTTGGTAGCTTTGCGGATGAGCACATTCATCCTGTCGACTTCAGATGTCTTGAGTGCGAGGTTCCATAGATGATTCGGCTATTTAGAAAAGCCTGGACAACTCTTAGGATATCACTTTCCTCCAGGCCACTGCATCGGTTTGCGACTCTCCTTACGAGATGCGTGAGCTGGAAGACTGTGCGTTGAAGTCTAGGAAGCATGGCGGTGCGTGATCCGTCGTGGTGCAGGTGCAAGCCGAGCACGCGAAGCGAGATGCCTTCGGTATTTGGACGCCGAGAAGAATGGTGCATGGGTCTGGCGCTTCGCAGGTTGGAGGTCTTCCTCGCGTACGGGCCTTCATCATCATCATCATCATCATCATCATCATCATCATCATCATCATCAGCCTGACTACGTCCACTGCAGCACAAAGGCCTCTCCCATGTTCCGCCAGTTAACCCGGTCCTGTGCTTGCTGCTGCCAATTTATACCCGCAAACTTCTTAATCTCATCTGCCTACCTAACCTTCTGTCTCCCCCTAACCCGCTTGCCTTCTCTGGGAATCCAGTTAATTACCCTTAACGAACAGCGGTTATCCTGTGTACGCGCTACATGCCTGGCCAATGTCCGTTTCTTCTTGATTTCAGCTATGATATCCTTAACCCCCGTTTGTTCCCTAATCCACTCTGCTCTCTTCTTGTCTCTTAATGTTACACCTACCATTTTTCTTTCCATTGCTCGCTACGTCGTGCTCAATTTAAGCTGAACCCTCTTTGTAAGTCTCCAGGTTTCTGCTCCGTAGCTAAGTACCGGCAAGATACAGTTGTTATATACCTTCCTCTTGAGTGATAGTGGCAATCTACCTGTCATAATTTGAGTGTGCTTGCCGAATGTGCTCCACCCGATTCTTATTCTTCTATTTACTTCAATCTCGAGGTTCGGCTCTGATGTTATTACCTGCCCCAAGTAGACATAGTCTTTTACAACTTCAAGTGCACCATTACCTATCTCGAAGCGCTGCTCCTTTCCCAGGTTGTTGTACATTACTTTCGTTTTCTGCATATTGATTTTAAGACCCACCTTTCTACTCTCCTTGTCTAACACCGTAATCATGAGTTGCAATTCGTCCCCCCCTGAGTTACTCAGCATTGCAATGTCATCAGCGAAGCGCAGGTTACTAAGGTATTCTCCATTAACTCTTATCCCTAACTGTTCACATTCTAGGCTTCTGAAAACCTCCTGTAAGCACGTGAAAACCTCCTACGGGCCTTGAGTACCACTAATTTCGATTTTTCAGGTGCACAATGGAGGCCGCAGCGTTCGAGGTAGTTTTAGATGACATTGACGACCGCCTCCTGAAGGCAGCTTTCTAGCTCTCCAGTGCTCTTGCCTCGCGTCCAAAGCGTAATATCGTCAGCGTAGATGGCGTGACGTTGGCCCTGTATTGTTTCGAGAAGCTGGGGGAGCTTAAGGAGTGTCACGTTAAAAATGAGTGGTGACGCAACAGAGCATTGATGTGTACCATTGTTTGGCAGCTCAAAATTTTCGCTCCGTATGTTCTATATTCCCACAGTGGCCGTACGACCGGTGATGAAGCTTCGAACATAGCCATAAATCTTGGAACTGCAGCCGGTATCTTCGAGACTTTGTAGTATTGCTTTATGGCTAACATTGTCGAAGGCACTCTTGGAATCAATGGAAAGTAGGGACGACTTGCTATTCTTGCTCAAGTGATGAACTAGATCTTTCTTGAGGAGTAAAATGATGTCCTGCGTGGAAAGCAGCTGGCGGAAGCCGTACATGGTGTCTGCGAAGTACCCGTTGTCCGCAAGGTGCGACGTGAGCCGGTCATGGATCATATGCTCAAACAGCTTGCCAACGCATGAAGTCAGAGAAATGAGATTAAGGTTGTCAACGGCTATGGACTTGTTGGGCCTAGGCATTATGATAACCTCCGAATGCGTCCACGCGGCTGGAAGCTCTCCTTTGCACAGCAGTCATTGCAGTACCGCCGACTCGCAAGTGATATTTTTTATTGTAAGCTCTGGGTGACAAAAGGCGTTGAAACAACACCATCAAGAGCTGGACGGGCAGCGTCGCAGCAGCAGCCAGATTGTGCCGCGCACAAAGCTTTTTCGATGTCACTGCAGCGGGGGGGGGGGGCGCATTATTATTCACTACGTTTTATGACAGCGAAAGCTGTATGTGGCTAAGAAACATAAAAAAAAATCGACAGATCTCTGGGAAGGAAGGAAGGAAGGAAAATAGAGGGAAAAAAAGGCAAGGAGGTTAACCAGCCTATAGGCAGCCGGTTTGCTACCCTGCGCATGGGAGAGGGATGGGGGAGATGAAAGAGAGCAGAGGGGGAAGATAGAAACAGCACATTCGGCAGCACATGCGCGCACACTCAGTCATAGTCCAGTCTTGTCTTTCGCGGAGTGTGACATTGTTGTTACAGTCGCTTGTTCAAGTCGGTGTCGCGTAGGAATTTCAACAGAGCTTTCGTCGCCTTCTGTTGCAGTGTCTTCTCTCGGGCACTTGACAGAATAGTGTCCACAGACATTTGGCTGTTGTCGATGCGCGCAAAAGCAGACGCCAGTGACTGTCTCTGGATTTCATACAATGGACAGTCACACAGGATGTGGTGTAGCGTCTCTTCGCAATGACAGGCATCGCAGAGAGCGTTGTCGGCCATTCCTAAGACAAAGGAGTAAGATTTTGTAAATGCCACTCCTAGCCATACGCGATGAAGTAGGGTGGCTTCTTTTCGGTCGAGTCCAGTGGGCATGCGGAAAGCCATCAAAGAGGACAGGTGGTGTTGACGATTCGTATCGATGCTTGGTGGGTACCATAGTGAAAACGTGATTTCACGCGCAAGTCGTCGAAGATTACTGGCAGCATCAGTCCTCGAAAGTGGTATGGCTTCTTCTCGTGTTCCTTCAAGGGCTGCCCGCGCGGCAGTATCGGCATGTTCATTCCCTATGATGCCGCAATGACTTGGCAGCCATTGAAGCGTCACATGATGCCCTTTCTCGAGTAAAGTGTGGAGAAAGCATCGAATTTCGAAAACAAGCTGTTCGTACCTGGGAGTCGACGTTATGAAAAGCATGCTGAGGTTACCGTGTTGCAGTTTTTTTATTAAGTGACAGGTCATGAAATGACGCTAAATATATGCACAAATGTTGTACGCACAAACATATGTTGAAGAGTAGCAGATATATAAGCAGTTTGCACTTGCACAACAATGTCAACTGCAACATGGCTGTTAGCAACACGAGAAGCAGATATGAAGCGCTGATGCTCGCGAAGGTGCTGGCCTTGGACACTGCTACAAAAATCAATTTCAGCGCATGGCAACTAACCAAAATCGATGTTAACCCGACATGACGGCTACATTAAAGGAGTACATTTGTAATATTCATAAAAAATGGGTAGTCAGCACAAGATTAGCGTCTATTTGAAAAGCGGTTCCGAAACGTAGTGTAACTCTGTGATAAAGTGCTTCATTGCCACGCAGAATGCTTGGGTTTGATTCCAACTGGGACCCTTACATTTATTCTTTGCATTCTTAAGATCGACGCTACCAATGTCGGTTATTTCTGAACGCTTGTGCGCTAAGATTGCCCAGGTGTGTTCTCGTCGTTCCTAGGTAGATACTAAGTGTCAATAACCTGTGGCACATACCCGCACACCAGCGGCACATACCCGCCCGTGTATATGTGCCAGTGTCTGACGGGAAGTGTTTGACGACGTACGCGACGGGATTCTGAAATTATTAATGTCTTGGCCAGCGCGTCATATTCGGCAAACCATCGTGCCCTCCCACGCTAATTTTGGTTCACGCCAAGTTAAGGGGGTGAGAACGAGAGCACCTAAACCTAAGCGGCTAGATAGATAGATAGATAGATAGATAGATAGATAGATAGATAGATAGATAGATAGATAGATAGATAGACAGATAGATAGATAGATAGATAGATAGATAGATAGATAGATAGATAGATAGATAGATAGATAGATAGATAGATAGATAGATAGATAGATAGATAGATAGATAGATAGATAGATAGATAGATAGATACGCTCAATGTCGCCAAAGTTCGCTAAAGGCTGTTTTACATGCCGCGATTGCAGTGAAAAAAAATTCGGCAGATCCCACGTATGTGGGAATCCACGTTATGCGAAGCATGCGGGGGAAAGGTGAGACTGTGTTGCAATTTTATGATTGAGCGACATGTCATTAAATGACGTTCAATATATGTACAAATGTTGCACGCACAGACATATGTTAAGAGTTGCATATGTTCATATAACCAGTTGTCTGCAGCGCAACGATGTCAACTGGAACATGCGTATTAGCAACAACAGAAGCTTATATGAAGCGCTTATACTCGCGAAGATGCTGGCCCTGGACACTGCTACAACCACTAACTTCAGCGCATGGCACCTAACCACGATTGACGTTAACCCAACGTGACGGCTGTATCGAAGGAGAACGTATGTATTGTTTATAAAATTGGGTACAACACTGCAACCACTATTGACGTTTCCCGAATCTTAGCGTCTATCTGAAAAGTAGTTTCGAGACGTGGCGTTGCTTTGTGGTAGAATGCTTGACTGCCACGCCGAATGCTTGGGTTTGATTCCTGCTGGGACCCTGGCATTTATTATTTGCATTCGTCGGGGGGGCCAACGCTGCCTATATCAGATGTTTTTCAACATTGACGTTTATTCTATGCCTTCGTTGGGTCGACGCTACCGATGTCGGTTGCTTAACGTTCACGCGTTAAAATCGCCGATGTGTGTTCCTATCATTCCTAGGTAGATACTAAGTGTCAATAACCTGTGGCACATACCCGCATACCAGCGGTACATACCCGCCCCTGTATATGTGCCAGTGTCTGACGGGAAGTGTTTGACGACGTACGCGGCGAGATAGCGACATTATTCATGTCTTGACCAGCCGGTCATATTTGTCAAACCATCTTACCCTCCCATGCTAATTTTGGTTCTCGCCCAGTTGATGGAGGGGGGGGGGGGGGCACGAGAGCACACGAACGTAAGCGGCTAGATAGATAGATAGATACGCTCTTAAGTCGCCGAAGTTCTCTAAGAATTGCTTCGCATTTAATATCGTTCCGCTCGCTCCAATCCTTCTGCTCGTTACCACCGCTAATGGCGGTTTCGTTTCACATGGGCCGCGAATGGTCCGCGATTTTCGCTCTGCGACTGGAGCAGCGATCAACGTTTCTTTCCGCCGTTCGTTGCGGCAGCCACTGTAGAATTTTTAAAAATATAATGTAACAATCTTTGCATTATGATATTATTAGGTTTAATGAACGGTAACGAAGGGCACTTGTGTTTCGTCATTTATTACACTTTCCAATCTAACCACACTTTAAAATGCATAGGATCGGTCATAAACAAAAAACCGCCGTGATCACAGCGAAAATTTCCAACACGTCGGAAGCTTGGCGCGGACCGCTGCGGCGGGAGCGACCTGGCCTTTTTAGGCGCGAAGCTCCTTAAAGCGGCACCCGTTCGTCCCTCGTAGTAGTGCGTAAAATGTTTTACGCTATGACCGGCAAGGTGGGAGATTTCTCCTGTGCGTTGTTCAACAATAAAAAATTCTCAGCGTACGCGTTAACTAAAAGCCGAATTCTTTTGTCTCTCATTCCCCATTAGCAGCCATTGGCATGTACATTGAGCACTATCTGACAAGAAAGGGTTGCTAGGTTATACTCCCTGGGCGTAACCTCCTTGGTTTTAGAAAGGTTTAGCGAGCGTTGGGCCGCAGTGCCATGAATACAGTGAACTAGTATATACCATGAACTCGAGGTGGTTAAAGGTGGGAAGTAGACACGAAGCGCAAGCCGTAAGAAAGTGTGCGTGTGCCACCTCTCGTTTAGTCCTTGGAACGTCTGCCGGATGGCCCTGCTTCTATATGCGGGATATACGATGAAAAGATGCGAGATAGTGGTACTTGGAGTGTTGACTAGATCGAAGAATGGACACACAGACAGATGCATGGACGGACGCACGAATGGCTGCACGGACGGATGTACGCATGGACGGATGAAGGGGTGGATGCATGGACTAATGCAGAGACGGGCGCACGAACAGACGCACGCACGGTCGGGCGGATGGACGCATAGACGGTCACACAGACGCACGCATGGACGGACGGATGCTTTGCCCCGCTCTCCATCATTCACCCCGTGGATATGCTGCCATTTTTTTTTTCGCTGCGAGCGAATTCGCAGACTGAAAATCTCTACTTTTTGTGTCATGTGAAACGGCCTCAAGCCCTAGTTCACACTGAAGCATCCGCTTTTTACAGCGGCCGGAATTCGCCTGCCGCTGAAACGCAGTGTCGTCGGCACGGGACGCACCCCGCGCCGCCGAATATGCCATCTTTAAGACACTCGGAACTTTAAATATCAACGTTCTTAGGGTCTGTGTAGTGATGATATAGGCGAATACCAACTTTTCAATCGGTCACGATGAAAACTCATTGCAAACAGCCGTGACATTTTCCTCGTATTGATATCCATGTTTTTCGCTACGACCATCGCACACGGGCGATGCTGCCGTAAACCTACATTACAGCTAAAGTGAAGTATGGATGGCGGCTTTAGTCGGAGAACGTGAACAAGAATGTTCGAAAATATCTCCAGGAGGAGGCGGGGGGGGGGGGGGGTAAAAACTACATCGATTAGTGTACACTTCGGATGCACGATGCTTCGTAGGCAGAAATGACTAACCAGTCAGGGAAAACGACGTTCATATTGTTACGTAAAAATGACTGAAATATAATCGGTTGCGCTAATCTTCCCTTTTCAATGGTAAAAAAAACGTGTCGGGTAGATGTTTTGATCTCACTAACCACAAAACAAACACAGTAAAGCTACAGTCAGGCTGGTTTGGAGAAGCACGGATACAC